TGACTATGAATGTGTGTGAATGGTGAATGCAGATGTAGAGTAAAAGCACTTTGAGTGGTCGAAAAGACTACAAAGGCGCTATACAAAGATGGAGCATTTACATTTGACATATAGGTCAAAATAAACGGATGTGTTGTTTACAAACTATCGAGGATGTGTACCATGATGTGCAACAGAGGGGTGGAAAACATGTTGCGACAATGTCATGGTAGCTTAAAGATGGATATTTTCAGGATTTAGAAATGTCACCTACAGTACTTCTGTGTCCTCAGGGTTGCTGTAATGCCGCATTCAGACCAACCACGAATTTTCGCCTCGCGACGCTTTCCTCGCGTGAGTACATTCGCTACAACGCGAGAAGACGATTTTAACGCGATAAGGTGAATAAACACATCTCGCCATTACTTCAACTGTATGAACCCAAAGTAAACATTTACTACTCAAAATATTCAACTCACGGGAATTCCTTCGCGTCGCCGGCCACACCCGCTTCGCGCCGCCCGACAGGAAATCGCAGCTCTACACGTCTTTGCATTGACTTTGTATGTAAACTCACCGCCCTGAACGCTCGCTTCGCTTTTGGTCTGAAAACACCATAAGGCAGGTTTTGTTGGTTGACTTCCACTTTTAGCATATTTGAGAGATAAATAAAGCTAGACTAATGTTGCTACAGGACATGCTACTCCGTCTCCATGTCTCATTTATGATTTTCTTATTAAATCTGTTAACCCTAGATGACCCTAGTTACATTGGTAGGGGAGGGTTTTTACTCCATTGGCAGTTGATTCTATTTTTCTTTCAACCACGCTGTGTCGTTATCTGCAATTTTTTAGCGCTGCTTGCTTACTTTAGCTAGCTGGCTAAGTCTTTGTATCCAAAGTCTTGCTGGAAATCAGTAAAAGTACTGCTTAGAGGTAAATTTGTGTGTGGTAGGCCTATGTTGTTGTTTTTTTTACCACATGCCACATTTTGATAGATATCTGTCGGTTCGCGCCATAGGGGTCATTTACGCTGGGGACCGGGGGACATGTCCACACTACATTTTGAAGGGGCTGATTTTGTCCCCATCACGTTTTGAAAGCATTTGTTAAAAATGTTCTGAAAAACAGCTTGCACCAAGAAATGTTAACTAACAAATGAAAATGCTTTGAGAAAAGGTTGATTTGCACAAAAAGAAAACATGCAATGCAGTCTTCTGGGGGAGGACACCCAGACCCCCCGCACATATATTGCCACATCAAATATTTAATCTAAATAGTGATAAAAGATCTTCTTGTCTTGTTCTCGTGCATCATCACATCTCATGACCCAAATGTATCATAACCCCCCTAATCTGAGCTCTTATGTCCCCACCACTTTTCAACACAAAGTGACACCCTTGGTTCTACCTAGCTATTCCAATGAGAAATGCAGCTGCTAGCAGTAGCAAAGTTAACCCAAACTACTGTACACAAAGTTAGTTCTACAGCAGTGCAGTGTCATAAATCATATGCAGCAGGTGTTAAAATCACAGATTCTCACAAAATCCTCTCATTTTGGATATGTATTTGTAGCATCAGCATGTATGAAAATTCGGCATTTTCTTCAGACGTTTCTGAAGCATAACAATGTGATGCATTTTTGATCCAAATTTAAAGACCATTGTTATCCTCACAATGTATTCAGCACTAATGAATATATGGGCAGTGAGATGTCTGGGTGCAAGCTTATTTAAAAAGCAGATTCTGCCCCCCATTTTAGATGTGATCTTTAATAAAATATGATTTGACTAAACTGAAAAGTCCAAAATGAATATTAATCTCCATGTTGGTTACAGATCAGGGTGAAACGAAACGTTTTATGCTAAGTTACTGATCACCTGGACAAATCAGAAGAACATGTTCCTGTTTGTGTGTGTGCCACAGCATTTAGTTTGCCCATTTCTGATATAACACTGTAAAGGGAGTCCAGGTGTTATGTTTTATTCAGTGCAAGCAGAGTGTCAGGTTGTCAGGTTTGGGTACTGACCTGACTGAAGGAATGACTCAAGCCAGACAACAGCATTGTTAACATCCTCACTCTTTATTTGCCTCTATTATCTTTTTTACCTCTTTTCTTTTTTTTGCATTGAAATACATAATTATTACTCTACCTTGCTTGCAGCTGCAATGCTCTACATTAAACTGAGGCATGTGAGGTACCTTCTACTATCTTAAACATTATTATGTGATATATTATACCTTTTGTCACAATAATGTTATTATTCAGATGTTGTTTTTTGTATTGTTGTCTCTTTCTTCTTGTGTTTTTTGTTCATGCACCTTCCTCAGTTCAGAATAATTTTTTAAATGTAATATCTTGTGAGTCTTATCCTTTTAAATCTGTCCTGATGTGACCACTATTCAAGTAACCGATGATCACCAGTAGCCCAAATACTTAAGCTTTGATGGGTTAGTTTTGTCTGTGTTCCATTTCCCTGCCTAAAGGATCATCTTAGGAAAGACGAGCAGTCATAAATCAAGGATGGCCATGTGTGTTATCTCCTCAGATATGAGTCTGGAGTGGGCTCCGTGGATTAGAAACGTGACAGGCTTGGTTAATGGAAGACAGGGCCTAGACCCTCTATCCTGGTAGTCTGTGTGATTGAGTATGGAGGAAAATGATTAATGATTCAGAGGCTGAGTTTAAATAGTCAGAGCTTTGGGGTTCTACTGTGGTGTATTTTAAATCCCCCAGTGAACAAAGAGGAAAGGGGATGGCAAAGATTTCTATGGCAAAGAAATGTGAGAATACTGATACTGACTGTTGCTTGGGCTTGGGTCAGTTTTATAAAATTAATACTTTTCTAAAATATGCCGTCCCTTTCTACCCATTTTCTTTGTAAACATTCAACATATCTAACTAATTTTCTCACCTCATATCCCATCTTGTTCTCCTGTGCCCCTCTTTGAAATGGAAACAGGGTTTCCATAGTTACTGTTGGAGCACCATAGTTGAATGATGGCCATGACATCTAGGTCACATGGTGGTGTTAGACTTTGTGTTTTTTTGGTTCATTTAAGGGGTTTGTAAATGCCAAAGCATTTTATAATTGCCTTTGTCATTTCATGTGAATGCCCTTTTTTCTGTTTTGACACAAGCAAGATATTCATCAGGCCATCTTATTAGCCCAACTATATTTGTGTGGTATTACAAAAAAAATCCAATAATATTTTTGACAGTATACATGTATTATGGCTTTAAAAAGAATTTGGGATCTGTAGAGATGAGTATAAGCATTATTTCAGTGAGTATTATTAAAGGAAAAGGTAGGCGATATTCTAAATTGTTCTTATTGTCAACAAATCCTATGAAAAGAGGAAAAAACAACAATGAGTCTGTGCATACACAGCCTGATACATCTTATTCCTCTGTGCCATGGAGTTCCATTCTTGTCCCAAAAAATATTGTACTGGGTGACATGTTCCATTATTAACAGGATTACACACTCTGTAGTTTAATTTTAATTACTCCCACATACACTGTCCTGCAGCCATAAACACACTCATTTGCAAACCAAATATGTATGACTCCTCTGTTAAAAATAGTCCCCAACGAACGCAGTGTGTCTTCCTGTTTGAGTAAAGTTTTCTAAAAACCTGCAATGTCCAGCTGCTATGGGAAATTGCCACAGAGAAGTCAGACAGTGTTGAGATACAACCTAATGCATTGTTGGTTTTGGTCTTTTCATGGGATTTGTTGAAAATTAGAAAAATGTGCCAGCTTTATCCTTTAAAGCAATAGACCAATAATAGCTTAAGAATAAAATATGAACGTGTCAAAATAGCCTTGGAACTTGTAGTATTCTCACACCGTCTTCAGTTCAGCATCCTGTAGCAAAAACATGCTACATTACCTCATTCAGATGTGAATTTAGATTTGGTTAGCTTTGTGTTAGTGCATGTTCTGTTCTCAGCTGAATGCATAGAAACTGCCCGGTGGGAGCTCCACTAATGTGTCACATCAGCTGTGTTTAACAGTGTCAATAAGAGACGGAGGGAGGTTGCAGAGGGGAAAATTAATAAGCCTTTGCACGTTCCTCCCTCTATGACTTTCTTGCTGTCTGGATAACATAATAGGACCAATATTCCCCACAGGCACCTGCTAATGGCTTGTCACTACACAACCCCCTTATGGGATTGAGCTGGAGAAAGTGAATCTGTCGGGCTGTCTGAGACGGTTTTGCCGTGTTTAGTGGGCTAGTTTGACGCTTTGACTGTTATGAATCTATCCACTGTTTTCCCTGTCTCTAGTATTAAGCATGAAGCAAGTGCCAATTTCACTGGCTGCAAATGCATTTTTACTTGATTGTTTTAGAAAATGTATTTATTCAGTCTACCGACATATTCTTGGCTAACCTGGATCTTAGAAACAAAGACACCTCAAAGTACTGAAAATTATCAAATCAAATCTCTATTGTAAATGTATGAATATATCCAATACTATTTGACGTGCTTCAAGAAGATTTTTAAGCCTGAATATAATTCACTAAATTACCTTTTTCAGTTTTACCTGGAGATTAGAATCAAATAATTGCTTGTTATATTATTACCTCAGTGAGGAGTGATCTCTTAAAGCATACATCAGCAGGATAACAAAGCAGCTTTGTTTAAACTCTGTATCTAAAGGCATCCTCACAGTCCTGGCTGCTACCTTATACATGCACAATTACACATACACAGTGGGACTAGTGAATTAATGCAGTTAATAAAGTTATCACCTAGTTAAACTAGGTGAGTGACAAACAGCGGTTCAGTAGATTAAAGGCTAAGGAGCATAATGAATGCAAGACAAGGCTACTTGTCTCTTCTGAACACTTCAGCAGTCAATTTCAGCTGCTGGGCTGCACTCTCTTGTAGCTTTGCACTGCAACATCCTTGAGAGAAATACAGACAAGGAAATGATCCAGTAATTCATGAAGACAAAAGGAAATTCTGCATCCTCATGCACTAATAATTAGCTTTCTCCCTGTATCTCTGCAGGTGTTCTAGCATTCCTAGTACTGTCAGTAGGACTGGTGTCATCAGCACAGGAGCTGTACCTCAGCCACACATCCCAGGACTCTGTCTCCATGTCAGCCGCCCACAGCAGCCCTATGGCTGCCCCCAAACCTCCCCTCCTGGACCTGCGCGAGGATGATGGCTCCAGTAGTGGGGCATGGTCATCCAAAGAAGGCACTCAACCCGCAAACACCATACTCCCTGGTGTCATCTTCCAACCTTTGGCCTTGCTTCACACAACCCAAACTTCCAGCCTTGCTCATGACGATCCTCCCATTCATTCTACAAAGACTGTCAGCCCAAACACTGTGAGCACTGAAAGTCATGTGAATCAGCCCCTGGAGCCAAGTTCTGATTTTGTAAACCAAGGCCAGATGCACAACTTGGTCAGGGTGCCTCAAGTCCGTAACCCATTTACTGTCAGCACTAATCAGGCCAGCATCAGCCCTAAATCTCCCAGCACAGCGGTCCCAAATATAGATGTGGAACCTACTGCTAGACAGGCTCCAGGCCCTCTGGCTGTTATGTCCAGCCCTGGGTCAAACAGAGGAGACACACTAATTGCACACAATGTAGACCATCAGACGTTGAGTGTGGAAGAGCACACCAACCCCAGCTGGCAGTATGTTTCAGATCTGCACCGCTCCTCCCTGACGTCCCTTTCCTCTTCATCAATGGATGCTGACCCAGCATTAGGCCAACTCAGGGAGCATGCTTGGGGTGCCTCGGTGCGGACCGCACGCCACACCATCACTCAGAGGGAGGTGCCTGCAGTGAACGAGAACCCCACTACTGAACTTGTTACAGTCAAAAGCCCACCAGAGAATTTAACTTCAACTGCTTTCTCTCCAGCCCTTCCCACTGGACCCAGCCTCAACACACAGAATACAACAATCATCCCAATCAACCACACTGCACCCAACGAGACCACCACTGAGGAGGGTAATGGTCAGGTTGTTCAAGATAACAGCACAGACAGTACCCCTCTGGGACCCTGGTTCGGGAATGTAACTGCATATGTAGGGCTGCTCTCTAACAGCAGCTCAGTCGAGGAGGCGGCTGCTCAGGGGAACAGCTCGGAGCCCTTTTCCACAGACAGTAGGAAATACCAGAACAGGCAGGTGCCTGCCACAACCCAGGACCCCTGGATGCCCGGCAACAGCTCAGACCCCACCGCTAACTCCCCGCAGTCCCGCCTGACCATCTGCTTCAGCAGGATGGACATTGTGTGGATCGTGCTGGCCATCAGTGTGCCTGTGTCCTCGTGTTGTAAGTGATGTCAAAGCAGCTTGGGAAAAAAGTGAAATTAATGAATGTGATAAGTGTCAGATTACTTTAATTATATTTACATCTTAAGAAATTCGCTTATTTACTTTATTGGCAAGAGTTAGATGAGAAAATAGATACCACTTTCAAGTTTGTACAGTAAATATATGACTCTATAGCCAGCTACAGCTAAAGTTAATCTTAGCATAAAGAAGGCTGGTCGGAGGTGACAAAATTCAAGAACCCAGCCAAGAAATGGTCCAGCACATAACCACAGTAGTACAAGGTATATGGATTTAACAAACAGGTTACAAACAAACAAGATGCTTATTTGTGAGCTTTGAAAGTGCTGGTAGGCGGATTTTGTTTCCTTTGGACAGAGCCAGGCTAGTTGTTTCACCTTGTAGCCAATTCGTTTTTATGCTAAACGAATTGGCTGCTAGCTGTAGCTTCAGATTTAACAGACCGATATGTGTTATCAATCTTCTCATGTAACTCTCAGAAAGTAAGCAACCAAAAAATCCCAAAATGTCAAAACTATTCATTTAAGGAATAAAAAGTGTTAGCCTACTCACTTTTTTTTCAACTTTCCTAGTTTTGGATCTCTTTTTTAGAAGGCCTTTTGACAGCCCCCAGACACCCTCCAGGGCCTGATCTTGTTGCATTAAATTGGAGACAGTGCAATAGTTTAATAACAGCAGAGGAGAGAGAGAGTTTCTTTTATTGAGCAGCAGAGTTGCACCTTAGGCAAAACACTCTTTTTTGTGCATTTTGGTCTGTTGGAGATGGAGAAGTAAAGATTTATTCCTTTGATAAGAAATGACTTTCTTGTATGAGAAAGGATAGTTTTGTTGTTTTCAATGGCTCAAAATTACTACAAGGCACACCACCAGTAGCCATTTGAAACAAATTTCAGGGTGGATATTTCCTTTCAACCACAATGTCTTCTATCAGTGGCATGTTGTAGTGAAACAAGACAGCCTCTACCTGAGCAGCAGCTAGTGTGGGCACTTTCAGAGGCTATTTGAAGCAGAAACTCTCACAGTCTCTGTACTAACCCTCCGTTTCCTTTCCTGTCTATGCCTGCTCCAGCTGTGCTTTTGACGGTGTGCTGCATGAGGAGGAAGAAGAAGTCGTCAAATCAGGAGAACAACCTCAGCTACTGGAACAACGCCATCACCATGGACTACTTCAGCAGGCACGCTGTGGAGCTGCCCAGAGAGATACACACTCTGGAGAGCGAGGTACAAACTACTGACACACTGACTCTATTAGTGTACAGCACTGCACACTGAAGTGGAGGGACATTTACTTGATGTTTCGCTATCAGTCAGCAGAATGGTTTTAATGAGTATAAAAACAACAAAGAGGATCCATGTCCAATTTCTCCTGTCAGCAAGCCTCGAGGCCTGCTGAAGTGCACTTGAGCATGACACCGTATTACTACGATTTACAGTGACGCTGTTGGGAACAAGCTAAAAGAGAGTTTCCCTCCAGGGAATCTATTAAGATTACTGGTTAGTAGATTCACATCTAGTAAATGGATTTCAAGGTATTGTCCTATCAGTATACCCGTGCACCAGTATACTTTTATGAATGAGTTCTTTTTGGCTTTTAAAATGCTTGAATTCTAAAATATAGAAAGTACAATTTCCAAACCTTACGCCAACTAAACGTCTTGTGAAAAGCTGATAAAAGAGCTTTATGTGAAAAGTGCTGTAGCTACCAATTAGGACACTCGGGTTGTAATAATTCTGGGAATTTGAAGTCATGAAGACATGAAGAGGTGTTTACACACACATAGTACACAGTTGAATTTTTTGAAGGCAGATTTTTAAGACTATAAATTAAAATTTGACTGAGTTAGGGATTTAGTATTTTCCACCAGAAGTACAAAACAGGCAGTGTAGACAAGGCTTTAAAATAACATATAGACCATGTAAGGCAGAACATAAAATACACAAAATATATAATTGAGCAGTTACATGAATAAATATTATATAAATAATGAAATTCTGTGATTCCTTTTCTTAATACCTAAATTGTACAGAGTGTGGTTGGTGGCTTGTCAAACATTCTTAAGGAGGTGGTTTTCTCTGGTGGATATTTTGACTTGTGACCCCAACCGTGCTGATGGTTATAGATTACATTAATTATTCCCCTATCCCCTGTATAATGCTACCAGTTTGTACAATTTTAGCACGTTACAGCGCCATCTGGTGGAAATGGCAGTATATAACAATGGTGTAATTTTTCCAAGTTAGTATTACTGTATAAGATAAGATAAGTCTTTATTAAGAAGGTTTACCCTATCTTATCTGTGATCTACCTCCTCTTCTTTTCCATATCATTTTAAATTTATATTGCTTTGTTCTGTTTGTATGCTTTTTGTCACCTTCTCTTCAGTGACCATTTCACTGCCTTTGTCCTTTTTTAAAATTCTGTTACTCAATTTGCATTCCTCTGCTGCCGGTGGGGGCATCAGGAGAGGGAAGCTGGGGTTGGATCATGTGTGGGATGCCCCTGGTGACACCCAGGTGTTGTTTTCACCCTGCTTTACCTGCCTCTGTAGAGCAGCAGCCTCATAGCTTCCCCGGTGCTATAGGTAAATGACTGTGGGAGAAATGATCAGAAACCTAAATGACAGCGTTAGTTTGATTTGATTGGATTGTGCTGATAAAACGGCCTGATTCCTGCTGTAAAACAAATCTTTTTTTTCACACCCTCCCCCTCTAGCACTGCCTTGTTACTGCTGACTCACCATCAACAATCATTTCTACATCACTCCCCCTACATTTAGTCCCTCTGTTGCCTTGTTTCTTCTGAGTCATTCCTCCCTTTTGTCTCTTCGCTTAGAAGCTTTCCCCTCTGCCTCCCTTTTGTATCTCTGTTCATGTAGCTTTGTCATCTTTGTTCGCCATCTCCTTAAAAGCCCCAGGGATTCACCAAACCCATATTTTATTCTGTTCACTTCCACACTAGCCCTGTCTAATTCTGCTCATTGCCTGTAGAGGGACTTAGATATAGTAGTCTGCAGTGTGTTCCCTAATGGTGAGCCCCAAGGCATTAATCATGAATCACAGCTATTGTTTAACAGTTAGGCACCTGTGCTGAATTTCTTTGTGTGTGTGTGTGTGTGTGTGTGTGTGCGCATTTGCAGGAGCATGACACCTGTCTACCCCCTAATGGAGACTACAGCGGCAGCAGCGTGGTCCTGGTTAACCCTTTCTGCCAGGAGACCCTTTTCATCAACAGAGACAAAGCCTCTGCCATCTAGAGACAGAAAAAACACTGTTGGGTTCTCCTCTCCTACTCCCCCTGCTGTTGTTGTCTATTTTATATATGTGGTAAATATTCAGAGACTTTGAATTTATACTGTATATGAAAAAAACACAAAGAGCAACCAGAAAGAAGAGTGACGTTAAACAGACACTATTTACTATGAGAATGCACCCGCATATTTTTCTGATGTACATTTTCTACAAAAAGCTTAATTGTGATAAAAGGTTTTTATTGTCTTTATAAAATACAGAATATGTGTGGTTTTGTTTTCATTACAGTGGCTTGATGGTGAGTGTACTGTGGATGTTGCCACATGAAATCTGCTTTAGCGAGAGAAACGTGCTATGAAAACATTTAAAGCTGTTCGTTGTCATTTTATTTTTCTTTTAAAGTCAATCCCAAAATACTTATAGCCTGTTGAACTTGAATAGAGAACCTATGTACTTGGGGGGGTGGGGTGGTCAGGGCCCATATTTATCAAACTGAGAAATGAAGCAAAACTTAGAAGTACAAAAGTTATTTAATAAAAGTGAAGAATAACACATATTTATCGCGCAACTTACTTCTACTTACAGCAAAGCGTAAGAGCAACTTTTAATAGCAGCTCTAAAGTGATCACATGATTAATCACATGAATGCTCTGAGCAGGAATAGCCAATCAGAGACACAGATTTGCTTTACTGTACATCTGCTCCGTTGTTCATTTTCCCCCCACTTTTATTTTAACTCAGTGATATTATATTTTTACTAAATGTTCTGTGTGAAATCCTGAAATTTTACATTAAAATTTTACTATAAAAAATATGTTATAGTACATGATTATTAATTTTAATACATTTTACTTATAGAGTTCTTTTGTAGATACCTAAAAAAATGCTTAACTTGTGACAAACCCAAGAAAACTAAAACACAATAATACAGCAACACAGAGGAGGACAGAATCACAAATTAAACACTTAGAGCGCCTATAATTAATATTTTTATAATAACAATATATCAAATGACAATGTGAAAGGGGTCAATCGCAAATAAAATTAATAAAATCTTTTACCCGTTTTTACCCCTGATACCTCTGGAGTTCTCTTGCATTTAAGAGCATTGTGAAGTCATGAGAAATTAGATAAATAGCTTCTTTTCTCAAGTTTGTGAGTAAAACTAAAGGATTTTAACTTTCACCTGAGTCCACAATTGAACTTTTGGAGTTTGATAAATACGGGCCCAAATTTTAATGGTTAATTTGAGCAGAATATTCAGGTGATTTGGGGTCAACATCCTGCAGTTTTGACTGATTTAAAATAGCTTTCCCCTCATGTGTCACCAGCTTCTCTTTAGAGGGACCACATAGATGTCTTAATTCCTTATGTTGCCCCTTTATATATCAGTATGTATGTGTGAATGCCCTGTGTGTGCATGTAAGCATACTGTGTGAATGTGCAGTAAAGTGTGGACGAATGAGTTCAAATGTGCTGCCCCCTTAATCAAATATCACTGTTACTTTGAGTCAAGACTTTGCTCAGTTTTATCTGTTTGTGTGTGTGTGTGTATCTGTTTCTGTGTGTACCTCTGTGTGTCTGTCTGTCTCTTGTCTGTATCGTGGAGTGGCTACTGGTGATATCCCAGTTTGAGAAACAGTTTCTCAGTGCTGTAGGAAACAATTAGACCAACCTTGCTCCTGTAAATGTCTCCCTCCATAAATAATGTTTTTGTCAATCAATGCAAACTGTTTGTTGAAGTGTTGAATGATTGTGAATTAGTTGCTGGACCACATAATACTGTCAAAAATCTCCAATAAAAACCCTGAGATAAATAATGTATGCTGAATATTAACTGTAAGCACATACAGAGGCAGTTTAATTTTAAAAAGTACGTTTGAATATTTTGTTTAATTATTGAACCTGCGGTCCTTCTTCTGTTACCTGTTTTACTTTGCATTGCTGCAGTTTTATTCAATAATCAATGCTGCCTGCCTCTATCGTCGCAAAAGATTTTCTGCATTGTGAGATGTTGTTCTAAAATCACTGATTTAAAAGGCAATGCTGAATAACACGGTTAAACATATTGATATTTCATGCATTGGATGCTCACAGCTGGGCTTCTTGTTTTGCACGCTCAAAAGTGGATATTTTACAAAACGTTCAGTGGCACGGTGGAACAGTGTGAACATTATGTATTTTTTGTACTGTAGTATATACTGTACTTTTTACTGCTGAGCAATAAAACAGAAAAAAAACACTTACTGATCTCTTTGTCTGATTTATTCTCTTGAAAACAACATTTAATCAACAGACATTTCCTTATATTGCCATGGCAGATGGATTTTGGACATGTAAGTCCAAAGAAAGTAATAAACCAACAATGCTGTGTGTGTGTGTGTGTGTGTGTGTGTGTGTGATTTAAATATAATACTGGAAATAATATCTTAATGGTATACTGATTTTGGTGGTTTAACAAAGCAGTCTACATAAACAGACTCGCCAACCACAGCACATCCATTCATGTGGTGAGCTGGAATTTTCTCTTTGTGCATCAGTGCTGCATCTGGTCAAGTGACCTCCAGCTCTGGGAATATGACGTCAGTTCAATAATCTGTTTACTAGCCTGCTTTACTGCTGAGGAGAGGCTTAATTTTATGTGTTATTAACAAATTTGTAGGCCTGTTCATTTTTTTCATTTTTGAGTGTTAGTGAAATTATAAATTATACATTACACATTTAATACATGAGTTTTGTGCTTTTTTTATTGCAACTAAAAGAAGGTATCTTTAGTCAAAATAAAAAGATGTGTAAGTGCAATTGCATGACTGCATCCGCTCCACTCAGGTGTATTCTTGTTCTGTTACTGAATGGTCATGCAAAAAATTTGGTCTTGGAAATTAAAATAAAAACAAAAACAAACATTGATTTTACCTTGAGACATCAGGTATATTTGAAAATGAAATCCATCGAGATCGAAATTTTAAATTTTAAAGGCAAAATAAAAAATATACTATTAAATACAACAAAGGTTCAAAACATGCAGGTTCGTATGGAAGCCCAATTCTGCCAGGACAAAAATGATTAACTGTTAAGAAAGAAATTATAAAAATATATGATGACAAACAAAAAATTATTATATAGCAAGTCTTCTGAAGTCAAAACGATGAGCTATAAAAGTCATGCCCTGGTGTCTCACAAGTTTCAACAGAAGGTAAGAAGATGTGGTGCATGTCAGCCTCCTTCACTTCCATTCAAACTTACACAAATTAAAATATCTAACACAATATTAAAAAAAATACGAAACATGTATATAGCAATAGATTATGACATTTCCGTGTGTTCCGTGCAGAACATGTGTGTTGATATGGAACCCAATAATTAAAAGATAAGTAGCAACATGATAAGATACTAAACAATGATTGATAATGAAAGATTATGAGATTGTAAATTCTGAAAGTCAAAGTTAGGGGATAATAAATCAGTAATAAGATAGTATAGTAAGTAGGGTGAGAATTTAGATTTAGTCTATGTTTTGACTTATTATAAAATTGATGTAAAATATACTTTTATTTATTTAATCTACAGCTTTTCCTTGAGGAAATGAGCTTATAACTTTGCCAATTGAATTTCTGTGGTACTATCATTTACTTTCATTAACTAGACTGAATTCCAGCAACTGCTTGCATATAGGGCAACCGAGTCGGTGAACTCCTTCTGTAAAACGTACTTTTACAGGAGAGCCCATATTCCTTTTTATTTTATTTATTTATCTATTTTTCTTTTAACTGCTTTTACTGTGTATATTGTTATTTGTTTGATGTATTTTATTGTTTTTGTAACATGGTTTTTATAAGGGCTCTATAAATAAAATATTAGTAGTAGTAGTAGTAGCAGTAGTATAACCAGCCGTTACATGGTACTTTTGAACAAAAAAGTAATGATTGTATTTTTTTTTATTAAGCATTAAAGTTAAATTTAAGAGGTTATGCACTTAATCTTCGAGGTCTTTTTCAAAATTGAAATACAATAAATGTAAAATGAAATATTGTGAGTTTGAGGTTCGTAATATTTCCGGTTCAGGGTCGTAGTATTTCCGGGTTACGGTACAGATTTGTCAAATAGCCTGTGCACGGCATGGTTGACAGGGTAGCCTACGTTTCAGACAGGGATCCAGAGAGGACATTTTTTTTTTATTTTTATCAGGCTGTAACAGAAGTTAAACCGTCAGTGTAAGAAGTAACGCCATCTTTTCTGATCGTTGCAACAGCTGTTCTCATTCCTCTGAGAGCACATTTCCATATTGTCATTGCTCAGGATAGCTAACTAACAGTTAACGTTGCTCTTTGAAAATGGCGGATGCACCACCAGAGAAGAGCCTGGACGATTTCTTTGCCAAGCGGGATAAAAAGAAGAAGAAAGAGAAAGGGAAGGGCAAGGAGTCCGCCGCGGGGCCCACGTCCAGTGTGGTAAAAAAGACCAAGAGGGAGAAGGAAAAATCGGCGAAAAACGAGAATCCGGACGCACAGATTGAAAAGGTAACCGACGCAGCTCTTTGGTAACTTTTTTTTTTAAAGCCTCAGCGTCTTTTCCAGATGCCGGTGTCGTATCAGATGTTGTACCTCCCGTCACAATCGTCTTCCTCCTTAAATGTAGCCCTCTTTCCTGACAGCTCTCTAACGTTTCACCGGTTTATTATGCAGAGGAGGAGGGAAAACGTGGATTTATATATTGGGAGAAAACGCCGGTTGCTAGCTAACATAGCATATGGTTTCCCCCTGGCACACAGGGATACACAATTTACCATGACACGCGTTTATTTCTGCTTTCAACTCTAGCTTCCGTTAGTAGCTGGATGTTAACGTGTGAGGCCCACTTGTGAGCTAATGTACTGTGACAGTGGCCTTGCATTTGCATGGAGAAGCTGTCATTCCCTTCTTTCAGTCGTGGCTGTCCAACTAGGCCGGGCCGCCATTTGTCACGAGTTTTAAAGCGTCGACTACCTTTTTTTTTTTTTTTTTTTTTAAGCTTCAAATTACATGAAGGTATGGCTATGTGATGAAGCTAAGTTATGTTTTACAAGGTTAAATAATTTAACACACTGGTGTGTAACGATGAGCCAAACTGTTATGGCGGGTGTAACCCATTCTCTGAGATCTGGCATGTGTGCAGATGGTTTTCCTCACTAAAGCAAGCATTGCCAAATAAATAAATAGCTTAGGTTTTTGGTAACACTGAAAGTTGAATTCTCTTACGAATGTAATTTCACTGTAGTGTAATTTTGAGTTAAGTTAATGCTTCCTTCTGCCCAGGAGGACGAGGAATGGAAAGAGTTTGAGCAGAAAGAAGTGGATTACACTGGGCTTCGGCTGCAAGCTTTACAAATGAGGTGAGAGTGAAATAAGTGTAATAATAATATTTGGTTTTCATGAGTCCTTGTCCACATGAGGAGCTGTCGTTTGCATCTCTAACTTGGTGTCGTAAAGTCGGGGGCCTGTGAGAACCATGAACCCTAGAACTGGTCCCCCATCCGCCAACATTTAAATATAAGTTGTCAGTAGCTACAATGAAACAGTTAGCCTGGCTCCAGATCAGATTTTTATTTTAGCCTTTCAGTTGTGATAAAATAGCAATTAAGTCCAATTATCAAGATATGAAAATGCTACCTTTTCTATCTGGTTTGATTTACACTCACAGTACTTATAAGTGGAAAATAAACTGCTTGATTACTTTTTAGGAATAAAATATGCAAAAACGTTTTTATTTTCGCTGTCTTTAGTTCATATAATAGTTTGTTTTATAGATTTTGCTACAAAATCTAAGTAATGTGTAATATGTGCTCACCTAATTTTAAGAAGAAGCGGGGGAAAATATCAACTGTCTTCTGGCTGTTTTTGCAGTGACGAGAAGGAGGAAGAGGAGTACGAGAAGGAGGAGGTTGGTGAGGATGGAGAGATCATTCTGGTCAGCGGAGACAAAGTGTCTGGTCCGTGGAACAAGTCTGGCGCTGCTCCAGCTCCTGCTGCTGCACCCGTGGGTGGGTAAACCAACTTCAACGCTTATACTGTAGGGTTATCGGAGACTGTGACTGAGCTACTTTTTCCAGCAGGTTCCAAGTCATACACACATTAAAAATCATAAAACAATCATGTACACAGCCTTAAGCAGTTGTAAACCTTAATAATTTAAGGTTTACAACTTAGTAGTGTGTTTTGATAAGATAAAAATGTCTTAACAGGTGTCATTTCTGTAATTACAGAGGAAGTAGAGGTGCCGGAGTCGAAGCCTGCTGGTGTATATCGCCCTCCAGGGGCTCGGCTGACCACCACCAAACGAGTGCACAACCAAGGGCCTCCTGAGATCTATAGCGACGCACAGTTCCCCTCTCTTCTGGCCACTGCCAAGCACGTGGAGACACGCAAGTAAGTAGAGCTGGTTGAGAATGCTTTCACATGGTACGTTTGGGAGGCTGAAGTCGTGTTGCAGTTTGACTGAAGTGACACATGTCTGTGTTTCAGGGATAGAGAAATGGAGAAGACCTTTGAGGTCGTCAAACACAGGAACCGTGGTAGAGAGGAGACTAGCGGCGCTTCTATGCAGCAGTTACAGCTTGACAACCAGTACGCCATCCTTGGGGATAAGTAGAGCCGCCCCCCCCTCCGTCCCCAGGCCCCTTCAGCACGGTCCTGCCCAGCCCCTTGAAGGAAGCTGAACTCCAGCTGTGTTGACTGCAGTCCTGACAGAGCTCACGGTGCCACCATCACCACACTGGTTACTCACACACACAGAGCCTTATATACATACACACAGCAGCACATAAAGTGACACTCTCTTTGAATAAATCGATAACACACTTCACATCCATTTTGTTGGCAAAACTGAAGGACTGCATCTGAAGGGGCTGTTGAAAGAGGGAATAATTGGAAAGGAATTAGCTTAATACACCCAAACGTACAACAACGCAGCAGCAACAAAAGACAAAGTAGTCCTTTGTGGATTGTACTCAGAGCAGCAGTTGTGTGGCGCAACTTTTCTCTGGACTTCAACTTGCTACGATAAAGCCACAGAGGATCGAAGACAGCTTTAGGCAAGATGATTTTACAAACTTCTGTGAAAATGTCTATTTTTTTGCAAGATCATTATAACCCAATCGCACATGGTATTTTGGGGTGTGTGTTTTGTGTTGCGGTTGGGGCTTCGGGAGTGGGGATCCTACCTCAGCGGTATAGCTGGTGGTGACAAAGTGGACTGAGCTGCTTTTTAT